AAAGTGTCTTCCTGTATTGCCTGTGTACTCTGACAAGTTCTCCTTGTGTGTTGAACTGCCAGTAGTCTCCTGCGTGTCCTGTATCTGCAGGACCTTGTGGTGTGAGCGTTGTGGTCGGTGCTATCACGCCAATCTGTCCTTGTTCTGTGTTGTGTATCTGTAGCTTTGTTCCTTGCTTGTGGGAAGAACAGGCCATTTCTGTTATCCAGTGCGCTGTTGAAACCTTTGCTGCGCTGTAGACTTGGATTGTCATCCAGTGTAAGTTGGAAACCTTGTTCCACCAGCCTTGTGCCTGAAAGGATTGGCTGTTTAACCTCACAAACGTAAAACGGTATGACAATTTGTTGTCCGCTGTGGTTTGTCACGCAAACCCATCTGTACCCGAAAAGATTGATGTGCTGGTTGGTCACTGTCTGAGTTGTGGTCCCGTGCCATGTTCTTGTTGGTGTCGTGGAAATTGTGGCGCAAACCATAGTGGGCATACATGTGTAGCCGCACCGCTGTTAATCATGAGAATCATGAGACTGACCCATTTGTTGTCTTCTGTTGGTCGTTGTGCTGCGCCAACGCTAGCTGGTGCATCTGTGGCTGATCCTGGTGATACCAGTTGTTGTCATAGTGCGCCTGGTTGTACCAGCCATCTGTCTGGTCATTGGCGTCGAAAGTTCCAGTGTCACAGTTGTAGATCGCCACTCTGCATTGTTCGGCCATGTGTCCTGGTTGCCCACATCTGTAGCAAACATTTGTTGCGTGTTTCCTTTTGCTCCTTTTCCTCCTTGTTGGTTGTTGTAGTATCTTTTGCCTTTTCCTTTGTTGCTGTATCCTTTTCCTTTGCCATATCCTTGCTGTCCTTTGAACGGATTTCCTTGTCCAACCGGTTGTTGATTGCGCTTGCCTTTTCCTCCTGTGTAGTTGGAGTTACCGTAGTTGTTCCCGTAGCCGCCATAGCCTTTGCCTTTGTTGCGCTTTCCTTTGCCCTTGCGCTTGCTTTTCTTTCCTTTACCTTTGCTATACCATGTTGCTCCTATGTCCATTGATGCTGGTCCTTGGTTGTTGCTGCTTGATGTGATCGCTCGCAGCCTGGTGAATGATGCTGTCGCTCTGTAGTACTCGATCACCATTGACCTGATTTGTGCATATGTTGCGATGTTTCCTGCTTGCAGCTGTAGGTGTTGCTGTAGTGGTCCTTTTGTTTCGTTGAGCAACATTGCAACCTTGACTGCGTCTGGTAGTAGTGTGTTGTTGTCCTGTTCGTACCTTGAGAGTTGAAACTCCCGTGTTGCGAAGCTCTCCTCAAACTTCTGTTCATCAAGCTGTGGTTTTAGCAGCCGTGTAAGGTACCCAATGCTCCTTGTACCAAGTGGTATGGAGTACCTTGCATGTGTCAGCCGCCATGTTGCAAACCCGTTGCCTTGCGTGTTTTGTCTGCAGAATGTAGATGCTGTCGCATGTGCTCACTGAGAGGTAGCGCAAGTTGTTGCTCAGTTGCATCCGTTGCTCTGCTATTGCTTGTGAAGGTGCTGCTGTCTCAAGTTGATAATTTGTAACTGCCAGTTGTTGTGATTGCTCTGACTGTTTCAGCAGTCTGTTGTACGCTGGGTCTTGCAGTCCCAGGTATGCTGTCATCTTGTGCTTCCATTCTTCGAATTTGTTGTATTCTCCTGTGAACCCTGGTGGTGATATCTTGAGTTTGTGGATTCCTGCTGTTGCTGTTGCTGTTGTTGTTGTTGTTGTTGTTGTTGTTGTTGCGCTGCCATGTTGCTCACTACTGTGTACCTGAACCTGTGGGTGTATGTTGGAGCTCACCCTGAGTTGTGGTCGTGGATCGTGCACCAGAGATCACAGCTCCGCTACCATGTTAAACTTGGAGCAACTGTGAAGCGAAGGGCTGTAATCTTTTGTTGCAGGGCGATGATGTATCAACTACTCCTGTACTAAGGCTCAAGGCCTTGATTGTACAAAGCAGAATTCCAGATGTATTGGGATGCATGTATCTTAACGCATATATATATATATACATATTTACATATACATATATACACATATACATATATATATAGACATGCACATATATACACATATATATATACACTTATACATATATACATATATACATATATACATATATACATATATACGTATATACATATATACATATATACACATATGCATATACACATATATACATATATACATTTACTTACACATACAACCAATGCACATGTTGATTGGGGGCAAGGCTTTGGCTATGTATTTGAGTATTCGCCTCCGCGGATTTTCGTGCGCGTTTCCTGCTCACTTTTGCGCAAAACGCCCAACGTGGCGGGCACTGTGATACGGCCAATCGGGCAAGAAGGCTTCGTTCGGCTCAAAAGTTGCAACTGTTCATCCCAGTCGCTCTCGCGCCTGCATGTTTAACCTAGATGGACAAGCCCCTTACCAACCATGATCAACAATGAACAAAAGGCTCTTTAGCGCAGCTCAAGTACGAAAACATCGTCCTTGGCCATAGCCATAGCCTCCGGCTCCAGCTGCGCCGCCGAAGCCACCACAACCAGAGCCGCCATATGCACCGCAGCCTTGTGCGCCGCAGCCTCCAAAAGCGCCTCCTTGGCCCCCGTCATACGCACCCTGACCATAACCACAGCCTGCCCCGTTTGCACCATAGCCCTGCCCATAGCTCTGACCATAGTTCTGGCCATAGCTCTGCCCGCCAGCACAGCCCTGACCACAACCAGCTCGACCGTAGTCCGCGTAGTCCACCTGACCACAACCAGTCCGCCCATAGTCAGTCCCATAGCCGCCAGTCTGCCCGCCGTAAGTGGGGCCACCGCAGCCAGATCCCCCATAACTGGTGCCACCATAGTTGGTGCCACCATATGGGGTGCCACCATATGTACTAGCGCCATAATTGGTCCCGTAGCCATCGCCATAGCCCTGACTCAAGCCTCCGTAACCCTGACATGCCAGGTTCCCGGTGCCAGTTGCTCCGTATCTGCCACCCGATCCTCCATAACCTGGGCGTCAATATCCCAAGCTTTAAAGCTTTAGCGTCTGCTTCTTTCACAAGGGCCTGTGTGCGTGTGGGGGGGTCGCTGCAATACATGACTACTTGCACCCAATTCTAGGACCTGCCGCAATCGTTAATGGGATCTTTCCACATGTCTCTTTGTTCCATGCTGATGCACCATCCCAAGCGACTATAAGCATCTGTCTGTGTCTGAGGCGGTCTTGTGGCCATTGCATCCTTGGCCGAAGCAAGACTACGCTCTTCTGCAGCTGATCGCTTAAGCTTTTTACATAGTTGCCATAGCCTCCACCTGGCATAGTCTTCATGACCTAAGGTTCGAAACCCATGGAGCTCATGTCTTCGAAATCGCTCGCAAGCTCGCTGTGAATAAGAGCAGCACATCAGGAGTGACGGTCTTGAACCTGTGTGTGTCAACTCGGAACACAACCTTTTCAGAGCAGTCAAGCGTCAGACTGGTCACTGATGTTCTGAGTCGCCATCGCCGCTGTCTGAGCAAGGGAAGACAACAGCCAAAGCAGAACGCGGAGCTTGCCAAAATGGTTGAGGTTGAGGCATTGCCAAAGTTCTGCCGCTGAAAAGCAGCGCCGCCACTGGTGCCAACTGCCTTCAGCGTTCTCAGAGACTAGAGTCTCCAAAGCAAAAGCAAGGAGTCTAAAGGTCCAAAGCATCTGCCTGAGTGGGAAGGGATGCTGCTTGCATGGTGCCCATCGCACCTGCGCAGGTGACCAATGCACGGCGCTCCCAAGCCAAAGAGATGCAAGCAACCAAATGCCAATCCTTGCAACAAATTGCCCACACAACCGGGATGGGCGAGCAACAGGGGGAAAGAGAGAGAGAGAGAGAAAGAGAAAGAGAAAGAGAAAGAGAAAGAGAAAGAGAAAGACAGAGAGCGAGAGCGAGAAAGAAATAAAGAAAGAGAGAAAGAAAGACAGACAGACAGACAGACAGACAGACAGACAAACAGACAGACAGACAGACAGACAGAAAGAAAGAAAGAAAGAAAGAAAGAAAGAAAGAAAGAAAGAAAGGAAGAGAGAGAAAGAGAGAGCGAGCGAGAGACAGAGATCTCTCCCTCTCTCCCTGTCTCCCTCTCTCTCGCTGTCTCCCTCTCTGCCTCTTTCCCTCTCTCCCTCTTTCCCTCTCTCCCCGTCAATCTCTCCCTCTCTCCCTGGAGGCAGATAGGGGGAGAGAGGGAGAGAGGGAGAGACGGAGAGAGGGAGAGGGGGAGCGGGAGAGAGGGAGAGAACAAAAAAAACTTTCAAAAAAATAGCATCCTTCCTTGATCTTGGCAGTCAAAAGTCGTTGGTAGAAGTGTCGTGTTGCTTCAGCCCACAGCTGGCTTTCACTGAGCTCCGAGCTGGTTCTCGTGCCCCATCCTCCAAGGTGAGGCAAGTTCTCTCTCTGCAGTGTTTGTCTCCACCTATGCCGCTTACAACATACTGTGGTCCTCCTCCAAAGCCATCATATTTGCCATAGTTTTGGTATGCCATTGCTGAGGCAGTGGTGCGCCACAAAAGACACAAGAGCGATGACAGCCACATGAAACCAGAACTGGATGAGCTCTTAGCGAGCGGATCAAGTTGTTCAAGACTGCAAAATGCATCAAATCTGGAAAGGATTGGCGGTCGAATTGGGTAGTGTATCTTGAAAGGCCATTGCCAAAGTCTGACCCTGGTTTGATGCGAGACAGCACAGCAGCCAAGCGGCTCGGGTTCACATCGGTGACTGTCTAAAGCAAACGAGTAGCGCGCCCTTTTGCCCTCCTGGATGTAAGGTATGATCAACAAATTCAATTTCAAAGCGATGGACTGCCCCTCTCAAAGCTGGGCAATGAAGACTCAGCAGACGGATCTGGCTGAAAATTGGACCGAACGATGTTTGGTACAAAACATTTCACAGCGCGGTCTGGGTCAGGTTTCTCTGGGGATTCAAGCAGATGTTCGCACGTGTGCCACATGGATTGCCTTGCCCCCCACCCCCAACTGCCCACCGCACTGTGGAAATCATCTCATATTATTATAGGACCCTGCATCAGCAATGTCGCATCCGGCACTCAGAAAGGTGTCTGCCCCAGTGACTGGGTTAGTACCTGCACCAGCAATGCTGTTTGCCAGGTCAGTGATAGGCAGCCAATAAGCTGAAACACACATCCAAAGCAACAAACCTCAGGCAGGTGTTGAACCGTTCTGAGAAAACATGTGCTGATCCACGTTGCTGTGCCACAAGCTGGCCTTTCATAGTCGGGTTGTTGCACAGGATCTTCACGCTTTGAATGTCCAGGAATGCCTGGAAGTTTTCGTGATGCAAAAATGCTGCATGACATAATTAATCTGCCAGGAGGGCATCTGTGAAGTCTGCGTTCTCGATGTTAACGTCCGTGAAATCTGACCTCGGGCAGTGCTGTGCAGGGTGGGTCAACCGGCGCCTCATGGCTAAGGCATTGGGCTGCGCAAGCCAGCAGTGAGCAGTAACTCCACACTGAGTAACCCACGAAGTGAGAAGACAATTCCTGAAAATGGCCTCAGAATGGTCAAGCAGTCCAAAGCCGAACATACAGTCAAGAAGTGTGGACTCTTTATGGCAAACATAGCGCCAAGTGTCATTCTTGAAATTGGCGCCTTTGAACTCCACTCGATCCTGCCCAAGCCAGAGGGTGCGCGCGTATGCGCGGTGCGCGGGCGGGAGCTCGGGCGGGCACGCGGGCGGGCGCGCGGGCGGGGGCACAGGCGCGGGCGGGCGAGCGGGCGGGCGGACGCCCGGGCGGGCGGGCGGACGCGCGGGCGTGCATGTCTGTGTGAGTGTGTGTGTGTGGTGTCTTGCTGCAGGCTGTGACGATTCGCATTGGCACGAGACATGTTCCCTGTCCGCCACCGCATTTTTGAAGCTCGCGCCCTCGAAGTTGGCATCTTCCGCAACAACCTGAGGCAAGGATAAGAAAGGCCGACTGCTTCCGACCATCTACTAGCTACTTGGCAACTCACCTTGGTCATGATCGCATTCTCAAAATTAGCATTGGTGAAGTCGCCCCTGTTCATCAGAGCTCCTGAAACTTCACAACTCTTCTGCTGCACGAAATCAATGTCCCTGTCCTGCAATGTCGTCACCCACAGCTTTTCCGCCTTGAGCAGTGCCAGGCAAGGATGCTGTTGGCAGAACATGTTGGCGCCGTTGTGTAACTCAACATGATTGGCAAACTCCAAATGTTCAAAAGCTGACACAAATTCAACATAGAAATCTTAATATGCCTCTAGCCAACGTCTTCTCATGTCTCTGCCAGGCCGGCTGGGTAGCTGATCGAAGACAAACGATCCTGAAACAACTTTTCAACTTCAGCGTCTCCCCGCCTGCCATCTTGCACTCTCGCAAATCCAAATACTTCTCCCTCTGCGCATTTGCCTGATCAGGAGCTGACAGCTCAAAAATCAGCTGCTCATACTGCCCTGCAACAACGAACCAGTCACGGAATAAATAGGAACTGCTCATGGCTTCTTATGCGCAGTCAATCGCGCGATGTCAAGGGCATGCATCCATGATCACCTGCCTGGGCAATGTTGGAAGTTTTAAACTTACATCGGTCCGGATCGTTCCTGTTGATGGGCGGGTACCTCAAGCATTTCGCATCAGGCGCTGTGTACACTTTGTACTAAGCATCGGTTGCAAGCCTCTCATTTGTTGGCAGGCTAAAGCTGCAATGAATCAAATCCGCTGATGTTATCCCAAATTCAATAATATGAGTTGTGCAACCATTCAATCTGTGCGTTTTAGAACACGATTGCTCTGTGTCTGCTGCGTTGCACTGGTGGACAGGTGGATCTTGCAGAGTGCTTTGTATTTGTTCAATTCAATGCGGCAACTGTTTCATCCTTTGACCATTGATAGACCATGAAGCATCTTCACCAGCGCCACCCAATTCCATCAAGGCCAACGTCAACAGTTAGTCTTCAGTGTATATGCATGCCGCACGGTGCTCCACTGCGAGCGAGTCCATGTGCACCAGGCTCAATATTTCAATGCCCTGCCCTAATGACAAAAAACATTCGGTGCAAGGGAACAGGACGAGTGCCCGGATATCAGCGCATTGCATGCCGAAAGGCCCAAAGAATGTTTGACCGTCTCGCTTGCAATCTCTGAGCTGGCCAAATCAGCGGGGGTCACGCCACTTTCCTCTGCATGTAGGCATCAGCCTCCCTCGGGGCTGCCTGGCGACTCCGAGCGTCGGTCAGGCGACAAGGAAGGGTCGGCCTCAACTCCAAGAAGACCAGCTCCCAGGCCCCAAATCAGGTCTCGGCCTAGGCGAGTCACCCGCGCACCCCTCCCCCCACATGCATCGAATTTCTGGGCGCCAAAATGGCAAATGGATGATGAACATATTTTATCCCCAAAAACGGCCGTTCTTAGGCAAGCACTACTGCAGCGAAGGTCGCAACTGTTAGCAGGGCCCCAAAAGCACTAGCGCAGCTCCGAATCGAAAGTCGCAAATGTTCAGTACCAAGGCAGTCCAAATACACTCACGCAGCTTCGGCTAGCACGCAAACTGCCCGTTTACAATATTTTGCAGCTCCGGCTGAAAAGCAACTTCCCTGCAAACCGACCCCCCGCATTCGCGGAACCTTGGCAGATCTGTTTCGAACATTTTCCACGGCATAAGTGTTGCACGTTGAGCTGCCAACCAAGATCAAACAAGCCAGCAAACAGGACATCAAAATGTGACCTCATCAGGGCTTTAAACTTGACGCCCAGAGGTCAGAAAAGCGGGCCAACCCAAGACATCTTTCCCAGAAACCTGAGCGCCCGCAAAAGGATTGCGATATAGAGCATTTGCTTCCTGCTTTCACATGTCACCGACAACCGCCTTTGATAGGGCCCAGGGACTTGGTCTTTTCTGGCAGCAGAAGTTGAAGGCGTAATCACCGCCGTATTCACGTTTATAGATTGTAGCCTCAAATGGCCTGGCGGTAGCCCTTGCACGAAGGTTGTCTAAGCTGCAACGCGTTCAAGACAAGCCTGGCTGATATGTGTTGCCCAAATTAGTTCAAGCCTACAACAAAACTACTATTCACAACCACAAGAGGTACAGCTATTCTTGCATGCCCCTACGTCAGTGCCACTTCAGGCCAGGGCGATGAGGAGCCGAGCTTTCCCTGCCCGAATCGCCCTGAAAGACCTGAGCTTCACTGAACCAGTGTCAGCGCTCAACTGGATCGCAGCGACTTCCCGAGCGCGCTGAAAGGAACGTGAAGGCATTGAAGGAGGTCAGGGCGACTGTGGCCAAACCTAGCCTGCCATTTACAGCGATTCCACACGGCTTGGATAATGTGAAGCCGCACAGTGGCACAGTGCGTCGTGCCTCAGGCGACGTCGGGGCCTGCGAAGCATCGCACAACATTGTGATCCTTCTCACTGCTTGTCTCACGCCCTTGCGTGTGCATGCAACGTGCCAGGCGCATTCCTCTCTCATGTTTTCTCCACCCTTTGAATCATGGTTGGTTCCACCCAATCCGCTCGACGCTGCGCCTCCTTGTGGCATCAGCCATGCCTGCCTCGCACAAGTTGAGTCGTGACCAAATCGAGTCTGCCCGCTGACATATTGGGCTCAGGGCTCAGAGCGGGGAACGAGGGCAGTTGAGGCCAGCTAGCTCTGAGCCACAGCATTTTGGTAGACTTCCGGTCCGGTTGCCTTCCTTGCTGCACAGCATTCATGCTCACCCCAAATAAGGCAGTCTTCTGAATCAAACCTGGGGAACGCGTAATTCGCTCTGCTTCTCTTGCTCGTCTTGCCGGTGATTGACTAGAAGTATCTCAACTAACTGTCCGGCCTGTCCTTGCAGTCAGTTGACTTGCAAAAAAGCAAAGCTTCTAGCCACAGCTCTCCATCCGCGCCATTTAATCGCAGGTACGCGCATCACAAACATTCGCAAACGTTTTGTCATCTGTAGACTACTTTGCAAAGCAGGCAAGTTGGATATTTTGAGCCTGCGTTGGTAACTTGAATGTTCACAGCGCGTCTTTGTTGGCAGCTGGCATGTGCCCTCGCAGTGAGCCAGAACCCCTTCCTGCTGCACGCGCGCGCACCTCCCCAAAAGAATGCCACAAGTCCACGAACATTTCCGCGATGGTACGACTGTCAAACGTTTAGTTCTGTTTGCTCCTCGGTGGGATTGCCTCTACAGTAGGGCCGCCCAGCTGCGGCCTTTTGGCATTCTTAGCGCGGATTCCATCGACATCGATTTGGTTTCGAATGCAAGAGTGATGCCGTTTGCAAATCATGCTGGCGCGTTGCAGAGGTGCCTGATCCTGCTTCTGCGAAACCCTCTACGAGTCTTTCTCGACCACTGGTTTCTCTTACGAGGGTCCAAGTTCTCGATTTCCTCGCAAACACGCGAACTCACTTTGGCAGCCCCAGAATCCCAATTTGGCAGTAGAGGTGTAGTACGCGCGGTGCCCTTTTCCAGGGTCCCATGCAGGGTCACAGTTGGAAGCCAAAGTGTACACGTAGCTCCTACACAGCTAACAAGTATGCTGAGCTCACGCCATCTCCGCCAAGGAGCTTTGAATATGTCCCATCCATCACACCGAATTCAATGCATCACAAGGTAAGCAGGGCTCATCTTGAGTCGACTCTCAATCTGCCTGTGCAGATCTGTGCAGCGGGCGCTTTTCGAACCTTTCTGACGTGCTGGCCCGGCGGGCAACTTGCCCAACTGTGGTTGGTCTGAGGCAGCTGCCAAGAAGTTTCACGTGTCTGCTGAGTCTTAGTAATGTGCAAAGAAACAATTAGATACTCGTCGCAAGCCTCTTACCAGCGCCCAAACTAATCATGGCTGCTTGCATGATGAGTTTGTCTTGCATTGTGCTGCGCACCACCCATGATCTCTTGCGCGACGGCAAAAACAGCAGATGCACAAACTCACACAATACAAAGCCGTGTCTACTGACTCGCATCAATCAAGGCATGAATTGTGCAGCAAGCAACCATATGTTTGGTGAGGTATTGGTTGGTCGTCTCTGTTGGACTCCCAAGTAAATGTTGGAACCAGATCGTGCCTGGCTCGGAGCCAAAACTGGGAGAATTCTCTGTCCACATGCACTCCGACAAGACATGACTCTTCGAGACACTCTCTCTTCAGGCTCCGCCCTGATACGTCGGCGAAGGGTTGAAGCCCCACTGGGGACGGCGGAAGCGCTCGCGCAATACAAGCCAAGCCGAGCAATTCCTGACATAGCGAGGCGTTCCTGCGGTGGTCCAACAGCTTTTGTAATTTTTTGTGAAGCCGTTGCCCACGATGACTCGACCTGTCCCTGCTTTGCCGGCACGCTCTGAGGAGGCTTCCTTGGCGAGCAGCACAGGTTTGTGGTTTAAGTTTGAGGATGTGCCAAAGACCTTCCAGTCCTGCGGCACGCGGTGATGCCTTCATGGAGCTTGAGAATGCCAGCGCAAATCGTGGGAAACTCCCCAAAGCAACCGGCTTGCAAGGGATTGCCAGGGCGAAGTTCCTTGCCACCGGGCGTGTTGCCTTCAAGCTTGAAGCCAAAAAGCCTCTCCAGAACAAGGTTGGCATGAGCAAAGTACGGATGATTGTCGCCCCAAATCATCAGGCCTCGGCCCGCCCGGTGGAACTTCTGAACCTCTGTCAGGAAGGCTTCTTTATCACCCACAAATTCAGTGGAGCTCAAAATCCAAGCAACATGGTACGACCCCTGCCGCAGCTCACGGGTGGGCTCGTCGACACTCATGCAAACCTTGACGTTGAAGCCCTTCTTCGACAGCTCTGGTATTGTGAGAGACTGCAAGTCCTGTGGAAGGCCCTCTTGATGGTATGCACACAGAACCAGCATCTTGAACCCTTCAAAGGCACCGTCCCGAGCCAGGTCGAAGTCGCCACCCACGGGGTTGCCATACATGTCCAAGGTAGCACCATGGAAGTCCCCGCTGATGGCTGCGTCATTGTAGATTCCGGCCTGCGACGCGTTGCAGGAAGTCTCAAGACACTGCGCATGAGTTCAAGTTCTTGACTAAAAGCGTCACAAGCAACAGAGCAATACATCTTCTGCTAGCACTGCAGTCAAGGCACCATGTCGTCCACACGCTCCTGGTCTTCAACCTCAATCTTGTCGAAGGCAAAGTCTTGATCAGTGTGCGTCTGGCACTGCTTGGCTGTGGCCTGAAAAGCAAATGAAAGGCAACCGCTTACATATCAGCTTCATCCAAACTGAAAAGGCACATCCTTCGGGATGCAATTACAATTCAGTGGGCATATTCACAAATTTTGGCTGAGACTTGGTGACCGAAAAGCAGGCCTCGGGCCCCAAGCATGACAAGTCTTTGGTTCGTCGGCTCTGCCTTCACAGAAGTGACCTGTGCGTGATGGCTGCGCTGGCAGAAGCGCCGCATTCAGTTCCGTGAGTTGGACGAGTTGCTGCCTGCCAGTCGAAACGCCCATAGGCAAGGCAGGTTGCGCAAATATGTCGCTTGCCTGACACACCGAGACATACACCAAACACCTTTTGGCATCTTATCATTTCCGCACCCATGCCTTCAAGTGCACGGCGTCGCCATTCTCAACGTAGACCAGCTTGTCATGATGATACTTCTTGCAGTGGGATGTGTCTTGCTGATATTTGCACGAATGTCCATCTCTGCATGGCAAGAGTAAGTGTCACATACCAGGGTGATGATACTCTGCTCTGTGGTACAGATCGCAAAAATCCTTGCAAGATTCTCCATCCTTGCACGTCTCCTTCTGGATATGTGCGCACTGCACATCATGTTCAGGACAAGTATCGCGATCCCGGCAAGAGACACCATAGAGGCAAATGTGTCTCTGGCGCTTCTGGCAATCAATGTCGATGCAATACATGATGGCGCCATGCTCAGCCCCCACACCACGATTGAAGATAAAGTCTTCAATCGTCTCCTTGCGGTTTGTGGCACGGCACTTTGCCCCAGAGACTTGAATTGTCAACGGATTGACCAAGCCTTCCTTGCTGCGATTCTGTGACAAGTTCGCCTGGAAGCAAGGCTTTGAGGCTCTGAAGAAAACACGCGTCCTCCCCCTTGACGGCAGACTTACAGGGACGACCACCTCATGATGCCTGGTTGTCAGCACAGTCCAAGCAAATGACGGAGGGGGCTGGGGCCGGCATAATCAAGCTGTGGCGAGCTTCCATTGCTCCTCTTGTGACTTGACGCCGGGCACGACGACAAGGCGGCTGCCAAAAATGGTGCGAACACTCCTTTGATCACCTTTGGAAAGCTTTTTGAAGGTGTGCTCAGAGATGACAGCCTGTTCCACCCAGGCCAGTGGGGTTGCATAGGGCAAATGGCACTCAACCACGTGACGCGCGTTGGTGGCTTTGAGGTAGGTCAGCATGCCATCAAAGTGGGTCTCAGATAGATCCCCAGATTTTTTGCGCGCAGCCCTTGCAAAGAATTCCCATGCTAGCGCCTCGTGGAAGAGCGGCGAGCTTGGGTGCAGCTTCTCAAACGCCATGGCATCAAAGGCAGAGGGCCGCTCTTGGTCTTTGTCTTTCTTCCACCAGGGCCGTTCCTGGCCTCCGTGGCCGGAGTTGTAGAAGGTGGCCGCCATGGGCGTCACAAACACATCTGGATGGCGCAAGCACTTGGGCCTGAAGATCATGTGGACTCCTTGATCGTGTTCATCTCCATCTTTGTCTTCACCATAATTCAAGGTGTGGGGCCCAAGAATCACAAAGAGCATCTTGTTCGTCTCCACAACCCGGTCTTGCTCATGACCAATGCCTCTGACAGCATTTTTCCCATTCTTTGCTGCTTTTCCTGGTGCGCTCCAACAGCCAGAGCTCCGTGGCCTCGGCCAGCTTCATGGTGGGAGGCTTCGAGCTGGAGGGCTACGCCATGACCCTGAGCGCCTTCGCCCTGGAACATCGTGGGAGACGCTACTCCTTCGGCTGCCGGCGCCGGCTGGGCACGGCCTCCAACTTGGTGATGTACGTCAGCGCGGCCGACAACGACTACGTGGGCGTCACCGGCACCTTCCTCGGCACGGCCGCGCAGGGAGTCTGGAGCACGGCGCGCCTGGACTTTTCGGTGCCGCCGGGCGGAGTCGCGAAGCTGCACTTCGGCTCCTTCGGCGGGTCGATCTCCGGGCTGGTGCAGCAGTCGGCGGGCACGCTGGACCTGTACAGCCTGCAGATCAGGGCCACCGCCTTCGAGGGAGAGTCGGTCTCCGTGACGGACCTGCTGGCCGACTCGCTGGCCCTCACGGGCTCGGCCACGCTGGACGGACTCACCGCGCAGGGCAACGTGGGCTGCGACCAGCAGCACTCTCACCATCAACAACACGGCCAACGCCGGGAACTTCACCACGGTCGGCGACGTGTCCACGGGCACCCTGACGGCCTCCGGCGCAGCGACCGCGGCAAGCTTCGCAGCCGCCGGGGCGCTCACGGGCGCCACGCTGACGATCACCGGGGCGGCGTCCGCGGGCCCGCTGGACTGCGAGAGCCTGGACTGCACCTTCACGGCCACGAGCGGCGGAGCGTCGACGGGCAGCGTGGTGTGCGGCGACGTGACGAGCTCGGGCACGGTCTCCGCCCCGCAGCTCTTCGCGTCCAACACGCTCACCGTGACCAACACCTCCGACTTCTCGGACGATCTCTTTATGACGAAGAACTGGGCGGGCTGGAGCAAGCTGCAGATTTCCAACAACAGCGCGGCCTCCGACAGCGGCCCGGAGCTGCGGCTGCTGGGCAACCAGAGCGCGCGGGTCTTCCTAGAGCGGGACGGCGGGGCGCACCAGTGCGAGCTCATCATGATCAACGACGAGGCGCTGGTGCAGACGAAGAGCCTCTCGACGCAGCTGTCCCTCACCACGAACCAGAGGAACCCCGGCTGCCTGGTGATCGCCGGCAACACGGGCAACGTGGTCTGCAACACGAGCTTCACCAACCTGTCGGACAGCCGGGTGAAGACGGAGATGGCCGAGGCCAACGTGGAGGAGCTCAAGCAGCTCCTCGACTCCGTGGAGGCCAAGCAGTACAAGCGCCCCGACATGAACGGGGACCTGAGGCTGGGCTTCGCCTCGAACGACTTCGCAGGAACGAAGTGGAAGAACCTGAGGCGCGGAGATGGTCACCCTCGACTACTCGCACCTCACCAGCGTGCTCTGGGGGGTGTGCAAGGGCTAAAAGGAGAAAGTTGCAAAAGAGAGAAAGTTGCAAAAGAGAGAAAGTTGCAAAAGAGAGAAAGTGGCAAAAGAGAGAAAGTTGCAAAAGAGAGAAAGTTGCAAAAGAGAGAAAGTTGCAAAAGAGAGAAAGTGGCAAAAGAGGAGAAAGTTGCAAAAGAGAGAAAGTGGTAAAAGAGAGAAAGTGGCACAAGAGAGAAAGTGGCAAAAGAGAAAAAGTGGCAAAAGAGAGAAAGTTGCAAAAGAGAGAAAGTTGCAAAAGAGAAAGTGGCAAAAGAGAGAAAGTGGCAAAAGAGAGAAAATGGGAAAAGAGAGAAAGTGGCAAAAGAAAGAAAGTGGCAAAAGAGAAAAAGTTGCAAAAGAGAGAAAGTTGCAAAAGAGAGAAAGTTGCAAAAGAGAGAAAGTGGCAAAAGAGGAGAAAGTTGCAAAAGAGAGAAAGTGGTAAAAGAGAGAAAGTGGCACAAGAGAGAAAGTGGCAAAAGAGAAAAAGTGGCAAAAGAGAGAAAGTTGCAAAAGAGAGAAAGTTGCAAAAGAGAAAGTGGCAAAAGAGAGAAAGTGGCAAAAGAGAGAAAATGGGAAAAGAGAGAAAGTGGCAAAAGAAAGAAAGTGGCAAAAGAGAAAAAGTTGCAAAAGAGAGAAAGTTGCAAAAGAGAGAAAGTTGCAAAAGAGAGAAAGTGGCAAAAGAGAGAAAGTGGCAACAGGAGAGAAAGTGGCAAAAGAGAAAAAGTTGCGAAAGAGAGAAAGTGGAAGTGGCAAAAGAAAGAAAGTTGCAAAAGAGAGAAAGTGGCAAAAGGTCTAAGCGTTGATGCAAACGCGAAAGACGCAGAACGCTTGCGCGGTCAAAAGCTGCTTCCGAACGGACAAAGGTGGGAGTGCGCATCGAGGTGAGGGTTGTACTCGGACTTGCCACCCGATAGGAGAGGGCAATGAAGCAGCTCACGGCATGGAGGCTTGAAGACATGCGCGAAACACATCAAATGGCTTGCGTCGCGCCACTTGCTGCAGAAAGTTCCCTCTGACCATGATCGGGCAGTGTGCGAATAGAAAAAGCCATCTGGATGTGTGCGGCCTCTGTAGTGGCATCGCACACCATACTTGCACACAGGTGGGTGCATGGGCCGTGTCTCGGCAGTTCTCTTGTAGACTTGGCAGTGGTCACGGTGCCGCTCATCTTCGGGACCAAACATAACCTTGCAATTTGGGTCAGGACAAGCGAGCTTGTGCCACCAAAAGCGGCAGTGATCACCACTTTCAGAACAGCCTGCCATCAAACACATGTCCGGATGCCAGAACTCTTCCAAGTGCTGCGAGCTGACGTCTTCGCAGAGTCCCAATTTGGGACACACTTTCTCACCAATCTTCCGGACGCCTTGGCCGCCCCGCTGAAGCGAGAGCCCAAGGATGCGGCGGAACACCTGAGTTGCCGTCACAGCCTTTAGTGATGCCAAGGATGCTACGATGATAGTTATCATCCTTGTCATCATCTTTATCATCATCTGATCATCACCTAGCATCCTTTAATATCTTATTCTCTATAGAAATCAAAAGCGACGCTAGACACCCTTGGCAATGCAAAGGATGCGACGATGATAGTTCTCAGGGGACAAGTAGAGATGCAGAGGGCGGATGATAACGATCATCACGCCCGTGCCAGTATCATCATGGTCGTCGCCATCTCTGAACAGGCAGCATTGGTGACGCAGAGGGTGCTACAATGATAGTTATCATCACAGCCGTTAGTGCCGCCAAGGATGCTACGATGATAGTTATCATGCTTGTCATCATCTTTGTCATATCATCAATAAATTTAGAAATCAAAAGGAACGTTAGACAAAGGATGCGATGATGGTAGTATCAAGGAACAAGTAGAGATGCAGAGGATGTTGTGATGATAGTTGTCATGACGCGGATGGTAACGATCATCGCGCCCGTGCCATTATCATCATGGTCGTCGACATCTCTGAACAGGCAGCATTGGTGATGCAGAGATGCCAAGGATGCTACGATGATAGTTATCATCACAGCTGTTAGTGATGCCAAGGATGCTACGATGACAGTTATCATCCTTGTCATCATGTTTATCATCACCTGATCATCACCTAGCATCCTCTAATATCTTATTCTCTATAGAAATCAAAAGGGACGTTAGACATCCTTGGCAATGCAAAGGATGCGATGAAAGTAGAGATGCAGAGGATGTTGCGATGATAGTTGTCATGACGCGGATGATAACGATCATC